ACAGGAACTCTATCAGCAGGTTGGGTCTGCGCCTTTAATACTGAAATACTTCTCGTGTCCAAGATGGTATAATTGTTTTTCGACGGCGCGTTCGACGTGTGAGAGAAAGGGTGGTTAAAGCCGCTTGATCCGGATTGATGGATGCGGCGGTCACGGCTCATTATTGGTTCCATTATATCCGCTTTCTCAAGCCACGTCCGACCACTGTCGGACAAGCTGTTCGATCGACCTGTCCTTTTATCGTATAACGAAACTGACCATCCGTTACGGTATACCACCATCGCCGATCAAGATCGTATATATACTGGGGATAGTTGAGGCGATGTCTCGGGGCTTTCGGTCAAATGTTAATGAGGCCAGTCCCAAATGGCATCAACCGGAACGTGAACGGTCGCATGGGAATCGCATGGATTCGGGGTGATTAAAACATCGCGTCTTCGAGTCGCTGGGTCGTTTGATCTTAAATCGTCTCCTTTGACAAAGAGATATCAGCGTGAAATTACGGCGATCGTGCTTTCGAAATTTAATGGAGTGAGATCTTAAGGAAAATGAGTGAAAATTCACTCGAGGAGATAGTGAAAATACTGCCACTTGGAATCATAAAAGTGGATGCTTTATTCAAACTTATAAAGTGGATTCTGACTTCATACTAGTAAATGTCTTTATTCATTAGAGTGAAATTGTATCCATGACGATGGAATCAGATCAGACATCAGATTAATTCTTACATTTCGAGCCAAAATATTTACTGGACGCTTCAAAGCGGAGAATTCACTCTGTATGAATAAAAAATCACTCAAATTCAACTGATACGGCTATCCTATTTTTTTGAGTAAAATTTTACTTTAAGAAATTCAGAAAGTAGAAAAAATTGTTGAGCGCGAAGAATAACAATAAAATATATAGAGTATATAGAGGAAAGGGTCCAACAAGTATGAGCCATGGTGCAAACATAAGCTAATAGTATTTTGTGAATCTGTATGATGCTATATTCTACTCAGAAGCATTTGAATAATTTTTTCTAAGGCGTAGTGTAAAACAAAGTTGATTGCATGGTTGTTTTCGAGTTGGTTAAGAAATTATACAAGATTTTCTGTTTTTTGTCATCTGAAAGGTTGAGTAAGTGGATATATTTCATGTTTTATTTAGAAACGTAAACATATGATTAATAGTTTATGAGCTATAAAGAATATAAAGATAGATATATTATACAATATATTATATATCCAAGTAGGAATTTACTACTGACATCAAAGTGGCCCAATATTGATTTATGGTAAACGTTACTGGTATAGTACCAGATGCCTGTACGGGTTTAGTATTGGTGTGATACTGGGATGATAGAAAAGGGCCAATATCGGAAAACAGTACTGTCACAGTACCGAAAATCAGTACTGTAGCAGTATAAAAAAAGTATCGATTCCTAACTGGAAAAGCACTTATTTACAGTACTGGGCCAATATCGATTCCTAGTAATTTTTATTATTTGCACAATTGTTAATATCACAACTATATAGTATGGAAAGAAAGACCATGGCCGGGGCTGCTCTCGTTTATACCTATACATGTCAATTTTTAATAGTCATATAAGGAAAAAATCTTTGAGGCGACACACACGGCTGAAATCTAACTCGAGTCTTCCGCTTGTCAGGCAAGCGTTCTTACCACTGAGCTATCTAGGTTTCGCGTTAGTGACCTCTTCCGTTTTCCCATAAAGGACATTGGTATCGTTTTTCGGTACCGACACAATACTGACCCAATATCCTCTATTGACAGATTGTATACGGTTCTTACTTGGGTATTCAGTACTGATTCTACGAACAGGGCCAGTACCAATAATACAGCTTTTTTAATATTGGGCCAGTACCGAAAACGACAAACACGGTAACTTTCCAGTACACGTACGACTATCCAGTACCTAATCTTAGTACGGAGCCAGAACTAATAATATAAGGTTTTTATATTAGGCCCAGTATTGAGCCAGTACCAAAACCGGACATCCGCTTTTCGGTATCGACCCAGTATCGGACTATTTTTACTGGCGAAACGTATACGATTCCTACTTGGATAAAATTACTTTATTGGAAAATATATTGTGTTTGTTTTAACATAATCTCATGTCATCTGTGACATGATCTTGCAAATATGGATGAACTATCATAAATAGATATAATATATTATAGGCTAATATAACAGTAATAATGACTTAAATTTGTCAGAATGAAGGAAAACATTTGAAGAAAATAATGTAAGTTGTCTGCTTTGTAACAAAAATTTTTCTGATGTTAAAAGGGGAAAATTGTGATGACTATGTTTAATGCACTCTTTGTGTGTGAGCACATAATGATTATGCAAAGGCACAATATTGCAAGATAATTATATATATACGATTTTTGTTGATGAATATACACTGCTCAAAAAAATATGGCATACAAAAATTATAGGCAAAAATAAATAAAATTTGAGTGAACATTTCCCCGTGAAAGATTATCGTACGAACATCTTTTTTTTAATTTCAAGGGTAAAGAGACTATTGTAAAGAAGTATTGTTCGATTTTTGTTTTATAACATTCTTGCTTCGCTATCTCCTCAAAAGTATAGATGTGATTTTTATTGTAAAAATTGTATATTTTGGTGGAATCCATAAAGCTAGCAAAAACTTCTTTTATAAATTTCATTTGTACGGGATAATTAAACGATTAATTTTTTTCCTAAATTTAAGAAAAAATCATGCGTATGATTAATTTTTAACAGAGATATACCAGTTGAGTTGTGCATTTTGGAGTTCACCTACCGCTGACATTTGTATTATGATGTGCACCGCGGATGCAAATCAAATTTTGCGCATTGTAAATGTGTATATTATATATTAGATTATGTGTAAATTTCTGCGTATGTGTTAAATGTGTAAAATGGAATGTTGGGGTTTAATATTATATTTGGTATTCCTCTCTCGATGTGTAATCACTTCTTCACTTGCATGTTGATATAGGTTTTTATTTCTTCTTCAAGAATTTCATCCCAGATTTGGATTGGACTTTTTCTCGAATTTTTGTAGATTGGCATTCCCAAATCTCTCAAATATTCGATATTGAAAAATCTAAAATTTAATTTTATATATTTAATTTAAAATTTAATTTTATATATGCCTACGCAAACCTATATACATATATATATATATATATATATATATATATA